ACAATTCAAGAACGACGGCTTTCGAAGGAGAGACGCTTGTCAACCTCTTCCAAGGCAACCACTACAAAGGAAAGGCGGTCTTCGATAACAATTATAAAGGACTTGATCAGCGACCGAAAGGCTTCCTTTTCTGAACGTCGACGATCAATTACTATCGAGAGTGCAGCACCATCCCCATCAGGAAGATCATCGTCCCGTCCACCTTCGGTACACGCTTCTCCAGCACACCAACGACCCATGTCTATCAGCAGTCGTGTGTCAACCTCCAGCCGGGATCCTGGACAGTCCCTTTCCCCCCCTCCCACAGCCGGCTCAACATCATCTACTGGTGATGAAAAGGCTGAGAAGAAGTCAAACAGGGCGAGTCGTATGATGCGAAGAATGTCCTCTGGGATATCGGCAAGCCGAAAAACCATTGCACACGCTATTTCTCCGACCGTTCGCGAGGAATCTGAACCTCTCCACAACAATGATGCTCCGTCAATGGCTTCACCATACCCCTCCAATAGCTCTATGACATCCAACAGTGTCGATATCGGCGATGTGAATGTCCAATTTCCAGACAGCTTACTCTGGAAACGAAGATCAATGCTACTTGACTCGCAAGGTTTTCTTATCATCTCACCTGCATTGAGTGCTCATGGTAACGGACGAGATAAGGCCAATGCAGGAGCCACTCGTCGCTTCCACTTGAGTGAATTTAAAACACCTTCTATTCCGGATGTGGAGATGCAGGAGCTGCCGAATAGTGTCGTATTGGACTTCGTTGAGGGAGGTGGGTTGCAGGTCGCTTGTGAGGATCGTGCTGGCCAAGGGAGAATCTTGAGCAGTAAGATTCTCGAGAAAACTTCTTTCTTCCCCATTGCTAATCAGATTGTAGTCCTGCAAGACGCGCACCGCACTTGGGCCACTTACGGTCAATGAAAACACAACCAACACACTCCTCGCAACAATATCTACCTCTTAAAGTCACGGCACGGCCCGTCATATACTGACAAATTTCCTGTCCATACCCCCTTTCACCACACATCTGATGCACGTATCGCAAACTACTTGGATTTGCCCTACCACCTCTTTGCATATGTAATTTCTTGAAGTTTGCTCCTTTCATCTCGAAGGAGCGAAGGCGTACCCACCATACCCCCACCCTGATACCAGATCTCGTCGATCAAACAACCAAAATTTGTCCCTTTTGTGTTAATAATTACTGTCCTGTCCTGTCATATCTAGTCACATGTCAGGCTCGTTTCTTCAGCAAGAGCAAGCAAGGGAGGGAGGCTGTTTTCTTCGACACTGTTAGCGTGCACATAGGAGCGAATTAAATGATGCATCACTGCGTTGGTAGGAAGGTGTTTAGGCGGATCAATGACCGCAATGGAATGGAAATTGAGAATTTCTGAGATGCATTTGGATATTTCGAGAGATGGTCTCTGGATATGATATGTGACTGGAGTGATGTGCCTAGCTCACGACATAGACTCCTTGTTCAATGTAGCGTCATCTCAAGTTGGCAAGTTGCCACATCGGATCACATTTCCATCCATCACTCGTTGAGGTTGCTTGCTTCGTCTGCTATATCCATACCTTCCAGATATGTCAACAGGACATTCTACCGTCGATGGATTCAGCCAGTCATCCTCTACTTCTTATTCGTGTCCCGATCCCCTCTTCCTCCTGCAATTCTCCGCCGGCTCTTGATTCCGAGAATATCGTCTCTAAAGCCTTTCTAGAAATGCTAACCTCCACCAAGATGTCACCTCGTTCTTGACAGCTTCGATCCCGATCGACGCCTCACAGAGCTGCCTTACAGTCTATGATCTAGACATTTCTACTTCCCAGCTGATTTGTTGATTCGAGTATCTCTGCCGTACTAATGGTAACCAGACCCAAGCAAACTATGTGCTACATCTTTATTGTGATCGATCTAAACTGATATTAAGTTTGTAGAAGCTTCAAGCCCTTGTGTTGGCGTGCGCCACTGGTCGAGCGATACTCCAGTGATGCACGATTCCGGAGCAGTTCTCGCTAGCTGATGTAGTGATTGGCGAGTCGAAGAATAGTTCGGATGAGAAGGCCCGCAGTGGTAAGGGCCTGCTGCGTCTTTAAAATGATTACGATTCTGTGGGATGGTCCATGGTCGCTAGATAGGACATGCTACGGGAAGAAATAGATCTTGGGGAGAGAGTGTGAGAGAGGGAGGAGAGTTTGAGAGTTTGGGCTTGGGAGGCTACTGGTAGAGTGTTGGGGCTGGAGGGGAGAGATCGCATGATAGGTGTTTGTGTGGAAGATACTGTAGATGGAATTGCATTGCACATGCGATGTTTGTAAGTCTGATTTTTCATTTATTGTGGGAGCTCGCGGGGACACTCGGAGATTGAAAGATACCTACTGCCCATCAACGACCCTGAGTTCAGGATAGTGAGATCTAGCAGTTCCGCCCACGAACCCTGGTTCGATCTTGAAGTCGGATTCCGACCGCTTCTGGAAGGTCGTCAGAGTGTCTGACGAAAGGAGTCTGCTTGTCACCCATGTCCTCCATGCCTCACATGCAGCCCTCAGGCACTCACAACCTCTACCTGCATACAAGAGCATCGAACCCCTTCCAACACACCACTCGTAGGCTCACCATTCCGTCAGCCTTCGTCCGGATATCCCCAGTACTCTCCACCGCACCACTCGCATTCCCCATGAACCAACCGATACTTCTTCCCTCGTCCATTACTCTCCCTTCTTGCTCGTTTCCGTGCCCTTTTCCTTGGACTGCTGGCTTCGACACCCGAACTGAAGTCATGTTGAGGACGGTACAGACAGTTCATCCCACTTTGTTTGGCGTGTGCGCATTGCTGCTCGAGGCTGACCTCTTGGCAGTAGCAGCGAGTGAAGGTGAGGGTTGTGTAGTTGCACATACTGTTGGCTGTAGGTGGCTGGGAGAGAGGGGAGGATATTGACTTGGTGAGATGACTGTGTGGCACCTAGTCTCGATGGTGGAAGTGGCCCGACTTGTTAATATGTTGGTTCTGAAGTTGAAAGTATGTGTGTTGGGTAACTTAGGCGTGCAAGCCTTGCAGGCTGAGACTGACAACGCTGGGAGTCGACGAGGATGGAAAATGGTAGCACTAGAGGTTTTTAGTGTAGTTTATAGAGTTTCAAATGCTTGTGTGTTTGAAGTTAACTTCTTGAAGTCGGATCAGGCATCTCTCGAAGAGGCATTCACTCTTGGTGAAGTCTAACCGTATTCGAGAATGCTCCTCGGACGTAAGCCATGGCGTGTCTGCTACAGAGTGAATATACTTCAGTAGCCGATTGATACCGCAACGCTGCAGTGATCATAGTTATATTCATCTTGTATCAAGGACATAGCCATCGCTTGCTAAGCACGCTTGGGGTGGCGCGCCTTGGGCATGGAATGCTTCCAAGATCGCAGGCTTTCTCCTGCCTTAGATTATCTGAACATGAGATGTAAGCTTGAATGTTGCGAGATCATAGTGAATGGATTAGAGAAAGTGACTCATTTTTCTCAATACACTTTATTGTATTCGAGAAAAAGAAGATCCCGAAGCGATCGTCAGTAATGAGACAGCTTGCGTCTATCCTACAAAACGTACAAACCGGCCTCCAAAACTGAAGACGAAGAAGCTTTACCTCAGAGATTACGTATCGCTCAATAATATGACTTCATTCATCCTTGAACGATTCGACCTGGCGGAAGAAATCTCTCGAGTCATGCGTTTGTTTACTTTCTCGCTTAAAATCCTCCGAACTGCGGGGTCATCCCTAGGGATCCACTCACGACAGAGTGCCGTATAGGGGACGGGATTTTGAGCCTCATGTTAACAAAAAAGATTTTCGTTCAAATGAGTCTGATTGAGGTACGTTTCTTGTATGTGCTCAAGATTAAGATGTGTGGTACCAGCGGGAAAAATGAATGCTCGTAGTCGACCCACCACAGCTTCCAAGGCTCTTCATTCACCGCTTTTTCTTTGCGGACCGATTTGCCCCCACATTGGGTAACAAGATAAACCACCCCGTTTGTAAAATTTGGTCTACTCTATCTAACCAATTATGCACCTTTCCTCCAATCAGCTTCGAACAGCTTCATCTTTGATGGTCTAACGGTCATGATTTCCGCTTGTCATAACAGACAAAGCGCGGGAGATCGGGGTTCGACTCCCCGTCAGAGAGCTTCTCTTGAGTTCATGGCCCCAGGTGTATACCTGGAGCTCCTCGCCTTTTGTTAGTTGCCCTTTTGTGCCTTTAAGAAAACGAATTGGAAACTGGGGCCATCTACCGTAGGTACAAGGCTCAATCAAATAAACTACTCATCCCCGTATTTACTTTGCATATAGCAAAAGACAGGAGAGTGAAGCTCAATTAATTGATTTAGCTACTATTTATTGTAATTCTTTAACGCAGAAATGTACTTTTGTTCTCCGAAGATTTATTTCTCTTTGTAAACTTGCTTGGGGTGGTTGACCCACTTTGAAAATCTCTTCCCGAAGACTTTTTCTACATAGACTTGAAGATTATAGGGAAGCTAACCACTGACAGGAACAATCGAATATGTCAAAAAGACCTGCGAGGGCATTGAAGCTTAAATAGAACACTTTCAATGCAATCTTTGCGTAGCTCGCTATCTTCAAACTAGTCACTTACTTCTTCTGGCCATTCTACGCAAGCTTGATGGCCTCTTAAGCCATAGGAAGAAGAGATTGTATGTCATTAGGAGCTATTTATGTGTGAAAATGAAACAATCAGGTGTAGCTCAGGTGCCTTTGGTCAGCTCTTGCTAACATTGTAGCATTAAGAGTCAAAGTCGCTTTTCGCTAATCTACCACCTTTAGCATAAGACGTCAAAAATGCTCAACACAGACAAGAGCCTACTCACTATTCCCATATGATATCTTCGAAAGTGTCATTGTATTTGCGTTTAATTCGAATTGATTTTCCATCCTCGAGCCATTACTAAGCGTTTTTATTGTCAAAAAGCAAAAAAGAAATGTTGCGTTCGCCGGGAATCGAACCCGGGGCCCATCGAAACTGTATGAAATGGCAACGATGGATTTTACCACTAAACCACAAACGCTTTTAACAGCTGACTTGTTGCTGACTTGGGAGAGATTAGTCTCTTTGGTTAGATATTGAAGCCAGAATTTTGAAAAATTTACTGTGGACCTTTGCGGGGCAAAGAGGCAAAGATTTGTGAGCGAAATCCCCACCAACTAATTGGGAAGCTGCGTGCAACTGAGGAAGAGCCAAGATCCAAAGCTTAGCTGCCCTATTGAGTTTTTCAGCTTGTAAATTTACATCCGATGCAACCTCATTTATGTACGTGTGTAGTTTACATTTACCGCAATGTGTACCATGTCCTAATCTACACTTGTCGACTCGCCGCAATTTTTGACAGTGATTCTAGCTCTCATTCGTTCTGGGTTGTGCAACATCACTACGAAATGAATCACATGAGGAGAGCCACCATGACAAGTTGTCGAAGTCCATGTTTGAAGCCTTGGATATTAACAATACTAAGAAATAAATAAAAGCCACCGCCAATCGTTATCTGCCTCGCACTCTTCGAGTCTCAGCAGCGATCTGAACTCGTCCTGCTCCTCCCCCATCACCCGCTATGAACCACGATTGAAAACAATGCATGCCAAGAAAACACAAGCAAAAGCTTCGCCAGCAGACAACAAGGTAGTTAGTTGATCTAATAATCAGTATGGGTCACTCCGCAAGATCAAGCCCCATGAGTGCCATTCTATGGTACTGTTGGAAAGCGAATTTTCGATCTGCTTCCTTCTTATTGACAACGGTCAACCTCCATCTCTCACTCCAATCGAACCAATATACATGGGCGAACGTCATTCCGTCAAAAGTTCCCGGATTCGTTTCGAGGTAGACCGTCTGCCAGTGACTATTGACGATCCATGGCGGCATAATCGAGTTGCGACTAACTCGAAGATAGGTAGGTTTCTCTTGTACCTTGAGAAGGACATCGTTGATTCTCCACTTGAGATCGCAGTCCGAAGATCAGCAATATCGTTGACGAAATCTGCAGGTGAGGACATCCAGGGGGACAGGTTCCAGTTCGAGAGAGCTCCTCTTCTTTCCCTCTTCGGCTTGTTCTCCTAGCCATCTAAGCTCTTCAGGATCGAAAAGCCGTGTCATGGAAACCGTCTGAGGATGGACCCAGCCTTGGGTCTTGAGGCTCTGATAAGTGGAGAAGATGATATCTTTACCCTGCTGCCATACGTGGTACGGCATATCCTTTCCGTTGTGGGTACCAAAGTAGTTGTGCATCCTACTGAGACCAATGCGCTCTTTGAAGATTGGATCCAGCTCGCTTCCAGGAACATGGTATTCTCTATGATCTTTGGGTGCATTCTGAACCGAGAACCCAGCAGCCGCCTTGACAGGATGAGAAGAAATGTTATGCTGCCAATTCTGAAGAAATCTTTTGTGTTCTGTATAGTCTCCATGAGTATTGTCAGTGTGTGCTGTATGATAGTTATGGCTTATGCTATAACTAGGTCCCATTCGTAGGGGTCCGTTTGCTATGCTCGCGGCTTCCCCAGATCCATACCCGGAATTGCTGAAGTCTGTGACCAGGGCCATCTGTGGCAAAGCCTGACATTGCTGGGACCTGCCTATGAAGTGTCCATTCGTTCCTAGATATTGATTTAGCAGGCTGACAGATCCATCAGGTGAGGAGACGTTATAGCTGGAATCTGGGCTCGCATGTGGTAGACAGGTCGCCCAGGCAGGGTGATACATACCAATTTCCGGCAAGTCCTGAAATGTATCGGCGAGATCCGCGTTTCCCAAGGTGTTTGAACCATTTACCTGTGTCTTCATAGGATTATGAGAGTTGATCCACGGGACTAGGTAACTTGTGGGTTGCGGCCATTGTATGAAGTCCTGGTTCTTTGTATTGTAGGCGACTGGTCCACTGTTGATCGATATGTCTCCCTGGATTGTGTGATCAACTGTCTGCATCATAGCGAAGATAGTGAAACACCTCAACGAAGAACAAACAAGTGTGAGTCTCGCTCTTTGGGATGCTCGTGACTCTCTACCTTATCACTTAAATACTAAAATGTTGCACTATCGCCTTTGTTGTGATTCTGAAGAAAAAATGGCGGGGTTGAGGAAATAAGCGACATCTTACACAGGTTAGAGTCTTGGAGACAAGCCGGCGCTATCAACAAATTAAATTTTATTGGAACAATGAACGAACTGTTAATTGGATAGAAGTTAGGTGTCTTATACGAAGGGTTGATATTTATACGGTGAAGTTAGATGCAGCATCATGATCGTGCCTTCCGCGATTCTCGTATTCGTGGGAACGGTGACCTGAGTCGCTACAACTTTTGGCAAGAACTTGGCGGCCAGAGAAGACTCAAAGGTCAAGCTGTAGAACGCCAATCGACTGACAATATATCACATTGACAAATATCATAAACGCGGGAAAATGCCATCATCTCAACTATGGTTGTGAGGTCCTGCAGAAGGGACATTGCTTGGTGGGGGGCCGCGCTGTGATTAGTATGAGGAAAAGTCATAGAGCACCGACATGTAGAGCTCATATGCTCATTTCATTACTCGGATATCGTGTATTAAAGTAGCAATATTGGACATAGGACAGTACGACCGAGTGCGAGCGATTGGGTTTCCACCTGCAGCTGCCTGTGATTACGCGCGAAGGCCATCGATACCCAGGAACGGCCCGTGTGAAGCACAGCAAGAGCATCTTGAAAAGCACATTTGATATAGAGATATTTGAAGAAACAAGCGAAGCTGTCGCGTATATTCTCTAAGAATAATATCTAGCAGATACTCTGGCAAGTTGCCAATAAATCCATGTGTTCTATAACTCCAATGCTATGCCGTCGCGGGTATAATAATACAGCATGGTGGCTATTCTTATGTAGTACGCTCATAGAGTGTCTTTATAGGTTTCAGCCCATTTCTCAACCTTTTCAAGCAGAATTTTCTTTCTCCCATCGTCACACCAGCTTCCCACAATGGCTCCATCGGCGATGAACTTCCATTCTTTCAGATTCAAAGCGAATGCTTCCTGAACCGCAATATAGTTGTCCAGTATATATCCACCAAAGTAAGCTGGATCATCACTATTGATGCTGAATCGCACACCATCTGCTAAGAATTTTCTGACGGGCAGTTCCGCAACCTTGGTGACACACCTCAATCTGACGTTGCTCAGCGGGCACATTGTAACCAGGGTCTTGTCCTTCGCTACTCTCTTCAACAGCGCTTCATCATCAACCAGCCGAATCCCATGATCGATTCTCTCTGTATTGCACAAGTCTAGCGCCCGCGAGATGTATGTTGAATCGCCCTCCTCACCAGCATGGGCTGTCCTCCGAATACCAGCCTTGCTCGCACACTCGTAGACCTCTCTGAATAACTCTGGCGGAAAGCCGACTTCGCTGCTATCAAGTCCAATACCGGCAACAACACCACTCGAGAAGTGGCCGAGGGCTTCCGCGGCTTCGTAGGTATCCTTCGCGTCGCTGGCTGGGAGATGGCGCAAGAAACACAATATCAGCTTCGATGTCAGCCCAAAGTCCTTCTCTGCACGCTTCTGCGCCATACCCAGCCCTGTCACTACAGTCTCGTATGCAATACCCCGTGAAGTGTGGGCTTGGGGGTCGAAGAAGATTTCGGCGTGGTGAACTCCATCATTGTGTGCCCGGGTGAAGTACTCGTAGGCAAGAGATTCGAAATCAGCTGTAGTAATCAACACAGACATCCCGATGTAGTAGTAATGGAGGAAGTCATTGAGGGAGGTAAAGCGGGTGTATCGGTCTTCGAGGGTTTCGGATGAGGCAAACGAAGGGTCTGCGTCGGTGGATGGGAGGGAGATCTTGTTGGTATCTGCAAGTCGGAAGAGGAGGCTTGGCGACAGAGAGCCTTCAATGTGAAGATGATGTTCGCATTTCGGTAGGTCATGGAGACATTTCTGAACGATGGCCCCGGTCATCATTTCGAGGAGGGGAGAGCTTTAAACCGAGAGACGAAGTCAGGGGACGAGTGGATGATGGCGAGGTGAAGGTATGATACTTGATACTTGATACTTGAAGCAGATATCTGGCGTATGCTTCCTAACTCTCGGCTTGCGGTTAAAGTTCTGTCGAAATGTGAGAAATTCGGATTCCTGTGTGCGCTGCGAAAACGTGTTATTGTTCAACAAGGAAAAATTGTGTTACTGCAAGAACAGTAGAGAAGAATGGGCAACTGAATGACTGTAGGAAATGATTCAAACCCCAGATATCGTTATATCGACTCGCATTGTAGACTTTACCGGACTGATCCCGGTGAATTGTCATTGACGCACCCACTTCAGTGAATTCTCTTCACACAAAATTTAGTGATGACGCCCAATTCAAAGAACATTATTATTCTGCCCCGGCGGTGAGCGGCGATGTCCGGACATCTTTAGAGCCACCATCTGCAAACCTGTGATCAAGACACAAGTTGAATGATTGTTGATAGCTCCATGCCTCATCCTCGACATGACAGCTTCCGAGGCGACACTTAGTGCTTCTCCATGCTTCATGGCCAAGGCGATGTTCACTCCTCCATTTCAGTGTCCGAGGCAGGTGATGGCACATGAATCATACTTGAGGGATCTTCGTCCTGTCTCCAGTCGACAGCTTCCTTTTCTGGTCCACTTCCGATGCAGCTTCAGCAATGTTTGCGAATCGGATCTACAGGAGGATCTTCGTTGTTTCGAGTCGCACAATGCTAAGTTGAGTTTATCCTTGGGCCTGTCTGTAGGTTGTAGCCGATGTTTGCGACGGAAGCACAACGGAGAACGAACCCCGTTCGACCCCTAAGTCCAAGGACAATCCAATATTACTGCTGAGCTTCGTCAAGGAGTCGACGAAGCGGAGCAGAGTGGTTCTACAAAGGTGTATGAGGTGTTTGATATATGCAATATCAAACCCGCTATCTTATCCAACAGCGAGCACCTTAGGAGGACATCCCAAGCTGATCAGATGGCCTCTTGATCCGATGCAACTGTGTGCTCGCATCAGAATTCTGGAAGGAAGTCCTACATTG